AGTTCTACTTACATAAAATTGTTTTTATAGGTTGTTTGGAATAACTTCTTATTCCAATTAGATCTAAAGTAGCTATGAATAGCAGTTTTGAATTCTCAAGGCTGTTCCACATTGGTTCACATTTAGTGAATTTAATCATGCTATTCCCAAACCCAGTATGGCACAGTTTCTATGGTTACCAGGCTCTTTGTACAGTGACAAAGATTGGAATTCTGATTCTCCTGAGTCAGATTTTGGCCTTTGACACTGTCCCCTTTTCACACCCTTGCTAAGCTTGGACTGTTGCTATGCTTGAAGGCTTGTCAGTTAGCAAGTTGCTATGGTAACGGATGGAAATTTGAGAGAAGAAAGAATGGGAGCACAAAGGCTTGGCTGATTTGAATTTAAACAAAGAATGCAAGGTTCCATGTGGTGCGCCTTTGTTGTAGAAATCAGAAATCTAGTTTTAGAAAGTTACTTTCCAGTTTGTAAACTTCCTATACTCTAGTCTTGATTTAGGGAATGAAAACATCACAGCCTAGAGAAACACTCAAGAGTCATTTAGAATTCAGTCAGCCTAGTTCCTTCTTTATTTTATAGATTATGAGTGCTGTTCCCCATGTTATATATGTGTTCTCAACCAGTGTCTAGGCCAAGTCATTTAATTTTTATTTTGCTGAGGTTGAAAATGTTAAGGTTATGATCAAGATATTTGCTTATTTTAAAAATGTTAATACTTTGTTTATATAACAGCTTTATTGAGTTGTACCACGTATAACAAACTACACTTATTTAAAGTGTTTCCTTTGATGAGTTTTAATAATTCCCATGACATTATCATCAGTACCAAGTGTAGAACATTTCTGTCACATCAGAAGCCTTACAGCCCTTTGTGGTCCACCCCTGTGCTTTTACTTTCAGCCGTGGCAGATGTACTCTCTGTCCTTATGGACTAGTGTGCATTCTAATGTTTATAGACATGGGCTCATACAGCATCTACTTTTTTAGATTTTATTTTTATTTTTAGTTATGTGTATGTGTGTATCTAATTGTGGGTTTGTGTGCATGAGTACAATGTCCATGGGAGCAAGAAATGATCATCAGATCCCTTGGTGCTGGATTTAAAGGCAGTTGTGAGCCGTCTGATGTGGGTGATAGAAACTGAACTCTCTATCCTCTGCAATAGTAAGTAGATTATGCTCTTACCTGCTGAGCCATTGCTCCAGGCACACAGTATCTACTTTTTATATCTGGTTTCTTTCACTTAGCATCACAGTTTTGATGTTACCTACTTTGTTTGGCATTTTAAAAATATTCCAGTTGACTTCTCCATTTGACAATTGAGAACAGAGAACCAAATCAGCCTGCTATACTTGAAAATATTCCCTATCTTATTTATACATATTATTTATTAGTTATGTTCTGTATGTGAGGGGAAAACTAAAACATAGAGGTTAAGTAAAACAAATTGGTTAAGTACAAGGGATCTGGGTAAAAATGTTAAGGTTTGACTGAACTTGTTTGAATTCATATTAATAGTTGTATGATCTTTGATGACTTTAGACAAGTTAGCATTATTTGTTTACTGGGTGGAATTGTGCAATTGAAATTAAATAAGGTATGTGAGGCACTTTGAACAATTCGTGTCATACTGTGCTAATGTCAGCTAAACTCTAGCTCGAGGTATTTGTAATTCAGTGAAAATACACAAAATATTAAAATAAATTTTACAACTTAAGTACTCACAGTTGGAGGGTTTGATAACATATACAAAGATACTCCACCATATGATTATTTTACATTTTGCTTATTACCACCATACATGTGCATGTTTGTCATGTGTGAACATATATCAGCATGTGAATATAATTCCTTACCTTTTTTTTTTTTTTTTTTAAGACAGCATCATACCATGTAGTCCTGGCTGACCTGGACCTTGCTGTATAGACCAGTCTAGAGATCTGCATGCCTCTGCCTCCCAAGTGCTGTTAACTTTACCTTTAGTTTTTTAATAATTATAGGCTCTTAGGAAGTTGCCAAAACAGTACACAGAGATTACATATATCCATTTTTCCACTTTCTGCCCTAATCTTACTGTTTTATAAAATTAGGATACCTAGGTAACATTGAAAGATGTATTCATTTTTCCAGGTCTTTGCTGTTACAAATTAAAACTCATGTAAACATTTGTGACAAGTTTTTGTGTTGACATATCCTTTCATTTCTCTGGGTTTGGGTTTTAAGAAACCGTAGTGGTTGTAAACCCATTTTATATTCCTACTGTAGGATATAGTGCATCTGTTTTTCCTCTATGTTCTTGCCATTACTTGGTATTACCACTGTTTTTGTCTCTAGCAGTGCAGGTATATATGCAGTACTATTTCATGTGCATTTTACTTGTTGAAATAACTGTTTAAGCTTTATGCTTTCTTTCTGATTATATTTTTCCACTTTGTTAGAAAAAGAGTTTAAATTAGCAATACAGTAACAGGTTTCCTTGTTTTTGCTGAACTTCCTCTTCTGCTCCCTCCCCTTGTCCTTCTACCCCCCCACCCAGTATTCACCTTTCCACTTTAATGGCTCATGTATTCTATTACTTTTACTTATTATTATTAATGTGTGCATGGAGGGGTGTGCCACACAGCATGATTGTGAAGACCAAAGAACTATGTTTAGGAGTCAGTTCTTCTTTATGTGTTCAGCATGTGCCTTTACTTGCTCAACTGTCTTGCTAGCCCCTGAGTTATTTATGTATTCTGAATACAAATCCCTTCTAACTATAATCCTAGCACCTGGGAGGCTGAGGCAGGATTATGTTCTGGCCAGCTTGGGCTATATGGTAAGATACTATCTTAAAATACGTAGTGAAAGGATTCAGGCCTGCCCCTGTTACCTGGCAGAATACACTCAGGCAGTACTCTGGTCAGCCCAGGGTTCCTTGAGTACTAGTCTGAACACAGGTATAAAGAAGCCCTTTAAAAGAGACTTCCACCCACTTTTGCTTTCTTACTCTGTGTTATTGTCCTTTCTGCTCTTCCTCTCTTGCTCCTCTCGTCCCTCTTTCACTCTTTCCCTTCATCTCTCCCTCTCTTTAACTTAAAAGAACATTTTGGTGCTGTGAAACCCAGGAAGCTCTCCCCGTAATCTCTCCTATTGCCTGCTGGCAGCCGCCAGAGACTCGGGGATCCTGCGCTTGAACCGACAACCCACTTTTCATCTACCCGTTCGCTGCGACCTGGTAAGACACCCTTTCTCCTGGTCAGTACATTTCCCACGGATGAGGTCTATTACCGCATTTGCTGAGCGGTAATCGTTTCGTTTCTCCAAGCCTTTGGCGGCTGCTTCTTGCTGGCTTTCGGATTTCTGTGTCCTGTCAACTGTTGAATCCTGTTTTGGGCCTTGCCCTCAGCCATGCTCTCTTGACTGATGAGTTCTGAGATCGTACTGAGCCATCCTTGGCCTCATCCATGGGAAATACACATCAAATTGGCAGCTTACATTCCAGTTACTGCCAGCGGACAGGTAAATGAGAGGAGTTACTGTATTTCTAAGCTATCTTCTACCTCTCTGCTAAACAATCTCTTTCCTTAAACCTGTTTTCCTCCTCTTTCCTTCCTGGCATACTAAAACTCCCCTGCCTGCCTCAGGGCGGGAACCTTCTTCCACCTAGGAATGTCTTGTTTCTTCTTAAGGATGCCAGTGGCTCACAGTGGCCTGGCCTGAAGCAACTTCTGCTTGGGATGCTCTGAGAGTTTTTTATTTTTTCATTTTTTACCCACGAATGAGGTTTTCGAGTTTTGTACTGCTGGTGCGTTCGTTTCTCAGACCCATGACGGGTCTCTTGGGTTTTGTACCCTAGCACTGTCCATAGACTGGTGCATTCGTTTCTCAGACCTACAGTGGTCTTTTTTGTATGTTGTGTCACTTGAACTCTGGTGTCCTGTTGGTTTCATACATCTTTCTGCCTTTTAAGTTCTTCATGGAAACTGTTGTAGTTGGAAGTGATTGTTGATTGTTATATATTAGTTATATATGCTTTACAGTTAGTTTCTTTGGCATTGATTTAACTGACTCTTAGTTTTCTGATTATACCATATTTAGAAATAATTGTTCTTACTCAGTAGATAAGCCAATGGTGAGAGTATAACTAGTTCACAATCAGCTGTAGCTCAGTTTATTTTACAAACAACTGAAAAATATTTATTAGTCAAAAATCCAGGTATACTTTTGGGGATATTTAATCTATTCCTCTGGTTACAGTAGGTATCTTAGCCTAGTTTTATGTTTGGGACCACAAATTTTCTTTTTTATTAACTTAGTATCAAATTATAGCATTAGCTGTATTTACAACATTTGATTTCAGTTTAAAGAATTGTGTAGATGCTTGGGTTTTTTTTTTTTTAATGTTTAGAAAAAAAAAAGAATTGATCAGCAAAAGGTGAGAGACCTTTTCTCAACTGAACACTTCTTTACTGTGTGCAACTATGGAGAGGTCTTTTCCATTTCCATCCTTTACAGTGTAACTACCTGTCTTCTCCCTTCTACCCTTCCCAGGACCCCTTGCTACTGCTAATTTGCTCTTTTTGATAGGTGTTAATTGAAGAAAATGTAGAAATTGAAATACATCAAAGGAAATTCAAACCCTTGTAGCCCCACTGCCAAATAGTAAAAGTGTAATCATTGGGTGAGCTTTAGTGCATATCTTGTATAGTTTTGGTTTTTTTTTTTCTATATTAAATGGATTGTTTTATTAGTAATTCCCAGCCTGCTTCTTCATTAATAGTACCTGTAATGCTTAAATATGTACAAGGATTTATCAATTTTATCATAGTCCTTGGATTTAACCAAATTAGACTCTTGAGAAGTAGCTTGGGGAACATTTTATTTAAAAAAAATCTTAGAAATATTAATAGCCTTGAAATTTTTTTAAAGATTAATAAAAAAAGAAACTCAGGTTATTAACAAACACTTGAACTATCTAAAGCTCTTTATCTAATTATTCAATTTTAACTTTTTCCTAGCCATTCCACCCTATGGTGAACCTGGACTGTTCTCGGGATTTTCGGCCATTTCTTTGTGCACTCTATGCCCCTATTTGTATGGAATATGGGCGTGTCACACTTCCCTGTCGTAGGCTGTGTCAGCGTGCCTATAGCGAGTGTTCAAAGCTCATGGAGATGTTTGGTGTTCCTTGGCCTGAAGATATGGAATGCAGTAGGTATGGGTCATTTTTTATGCTGATATATGCCTTCTCTTTCATCTATTTTAAAGAGCAGGATTTATTTTTTTTTTTGTTTATTTTTCTGAGGCAGGGTTTCTCTGTGACTTTGGAGGCTGTCCTGGAAGTAGCTAGCTCTTGTAGACCAGGCTGGTCTTGAACTCACAGAGATTCACCTGCCTCTGCCTCCTGAGTGCTGGGATAAAAGGCATGCGCCACCACTGCCCGGCAAGCAGGATTTTTTCTAATGTATAGATGTGTATATTAATGTTGAGCACTGTTTCATTGGCTTATTTTTTGTAGGAATTGGGAAGAAATAAATGAAAATGATATGAAGAAGATATTTCTATGAAGAAATTTAAAAGAATTAAGAATCATATAAACAGGACATTTGGTTGATTTTTTTCTTTTCTGCATTTAAAACACTTTTCTTTCTAGAAGTAATGCCATTCTAATGAAAAATTAGAAACTGGGCAGTGGTGGTTCATGCCTTTAATCCCAGCTTTTGGGAGACAGAGGCAGGTGTATCTCTGTGAGTTCAAGTCCAGCCTGGTCTACAGACTGAGTTCTAGGACAGCCAGGACTACAGAGAGAAACCCTGCCTCAAAAAAAAAAAAAATAGATAAGAAAATAATTACTCGTGACTATCATTTTAGCAGCTTAAATGCCTTTGATATAGGATGTGCTGATATCTAAGGTTGATGGGTCAATTTTGTTTTCTTTTTCCCCATCACATATTAGCACCCAGTTGAGAAAATGTTGGTGCTTTTCAAATCTCATGTAACACATAGACTGTGAGCTGTTACAGAAGACTTAAAGATTTGTTTAGCAGACATTCCTGTAGTTTTGTAGTAGTCAGAACTATTAATAGTAATAATATAGTGTGTTATATAACATACTTTCCTATTTTCTGAAATATTTCAAAGATAAAGAATAATAAGGGAATACTTATGTACTCATAATGATCTGCCTTTTTCCTATCTTCAATGTTTTGTAATGTTAGTCTTCAGATCTTCTTTTAAGAAATAAAATACTGTAGATGCAAACTGAACTTGGTGGCATAAGCTTGTAATTCCAGCATTTGGGAAGCTGAGGCAGGAGGATTGAGTTTTAGGCCAGTCTAGGCTACAAAATGAGACTCTGGAGTGAGGTAGGGTGGGGTAGGGGGGCTCTATAGTACAGTTGCATGTTTTGTTAGTCCTTGTCTTGCTTGCATTTCCTTCTTTTCTCCCCAAGGTTTGGTAAATATGGTAAATTAACTATTAATTATGTCCATGTTTGGTTTATGCAATCTACGAGGGCTTTGTCTTCATAACTAATACTACCACAGTGAGGAATAAGTTTCAACACATGAGATATGTTGGACATGTGTAATGAACATCCTTAGTTTCTTCCCCAGCCTCTTTATTTTTTTTCACCATTTAGTATAAACTTTGCTACCTGTCACTTGAAATAATACTTTTCTTGATAATTTCACTTTATTCTTTCTTTTGTACTTGTTCAGACCCATGAATTTATGCTTTGTATTTAATTGTTAAACCATAGCTATTCTTTCTGTTATTTGTAGCTACTTGTCCTGGTAAAGAAAATTTCTCTTGTTCCCATCAGCACCTTTGCTGATAGAATTTTAGATCCATAAGAACAGGGACTTTGTTTTATTCACTGTTTGTCTTCAACATCTAGAAAAATCTAGCACACTGAAGACAATATTTGTTGAACTTATGCCTGTTAAATAAATAAATTCATGTAACTGAGCCTAAGTAATCTAAGAGGTAGCAGAAAGTAACTCAAGCTGAGCAAAAATACATAGAGATCAGTTGGAACATGGTTAATACATTTTAAAAATTAATTAAAAATAGAGGAAGTTAGAAGACAGCAACGGAGTTCATAATAATTGGGTATAGCAATTGACTTCTTGAAAGCTAAACAAAGATAACTTTCAGAGAACTAAGAAAACAAAAGAAATTGTAGACATGTTGAAATTGAGATATTTGAGACAAATTTAAGAGTCAAGATCACCTTTATTTCCCTCATCCTCAGCCTGCCCACCTTTCCTTGTGTGTTTAGAACATCGTATCTGAGCTGTGTCAGACCAGGCAGTCTTGTTTCCTTCTTGGATTCTCTTCCTGTGTGTCCCTTGTGTTAAGGGTCTTCACAGAGTTCAGTTCTTGCTTTCTTTGATACTTTCTCTGGAGTCTCACAAAGCAAATCTCAGCAACATAGGAAAATTGAAATCATTCTTATATTCTGTCTGATTACAATGGATTAAAGCTAGAAATCAGCACTTAGAGAGTCTACAAAATATGCAGACTCATGCATATTAAACAGCAACACATTATAGACTGATGAATGGGTCACTAAAGAAATGAATGAATTTTTTTATTTGTTTTTTTGAGACATGGTTTCTCTGTGTAGCCCTGGCTGTCCTGGAGCATGCTTTGTAGATCAGGCTGGTCTTGAGTTTACAGAGATACACCTGCTTCTGCCTCCCAAGTGCTGGAATTAAAGGTGTGTCACCGCCCAGCAAGAAGGAAACTTTTGTAATGCCTGGAGTCAAATGAAAATGAAAACACAACACACCCAAATCTATGGGATACAATGAAAGCAGTCCTAAGAGAGATATTTATAGCTCTCTGAAATATGGTTTGTGGTGATAGGTATATAGAATTTTCTTCTTTAGTTTTTCGAGACAGGGTTTCGCTGTGTTTTGGAGCCTGTCCTGGCACTTGCTCTTGCAGACCAAGCTAGTCTCAAACTCCTGCCTCCGGAGTGCTGGGATTAAAGGCATGGGCCACCACTGCCCAGCTAGAATTTTCTTTTTAAAATGTCCTTAATTTTATGCACATCTGTGTTTGGAAGTAACTGAGTTATAGGGTACAGTGGGCTGGAGAGAAGTTGTCAGGATGGTGGGAAAAGTTAAGTGACATTAAAGACCTTAGATGCCCTTTGGTTACCGGGTAACAAAAGCAGAGACTGGGCTAGGGGAGGCTAGAGTGCTTGCTCAGCATTCATAAAAGCCTTAGGTTCTAATCCCGGTGTTGCCTCCCCTGAAGCTAAAGAGTGCACATGAGATCTAAAACTTATCAGTGAGGTTGTTTATTACTAATCTAGCTCACAGTACCTTGGACCATGCATTTAAGGAAGATTTTTAAATCTTAAGTTTGAACTTTTATCTGCTGGTCTTTTGACACAATATAATTGCACATACACATACACACATATTTCACATTTGGAAACCATAAAGACTATACTAAATAAATAGTCCACATATATGTTGTGGGTTTTTTTTGTTGTTTTTTTGTTTTTGTTTTTTTGTTTTTGTTTTTGGTTTTTTGGTTTTTTTTTTTTTTTTTTTTTTTGATGGCTGGTTTGACTGTTTTAATGGAGTGCTGATTTTGAAGGTAAAACAAATTTAATTTTAAGACTGTCATTTAAAATCTGCTTGAAGCCTCCCCAGAACATGCCATTTTCTTTCATTTCAACGTTTTTTGAAGACTTTTTTAAAGATACAATTTATTTTTATTTTATGTTCATGGGTGTTTTGCATTCATGTATGTCTGTGTGATGGTATTAGAAGCCCTGGAACTGGAGTTATAGACAGTTGTGAGCTGCCATGTGGGTGCTGGAAATTGAACCCATGTCCTCTGGAAATGCAGCCAGGGTTCTTAACCAGTGATCCATCTCTCCAGCCTCATTTTCTTTATTTTTATTTATCCCAAGTGATGGGAATAGATGAGATTACAGATGCTAAATTTAGAATTTGAAATTGCTAAGTGACAGCAACTTTACCCGGAAGTAAATATGGTTATCATCTTTATTTTTTTAGGTTTCCAGATTGTGATGAGCCATATCCCCGACTTGTGGATTTGAATTTAGTTGGAGATCCAACTGAAGGCGCCCCAGTTGCAGTACAGAGAGATTACGGTTTTTGGTGTCCCCGAGAGTTGAAAATTGATCCAGATCTTGGCTATTCCTTTCTGCATGTTCGAGATTGTTCACCACCATGTCCCAATATGTACTTTAGGAGAGAAGAACTGTCATTTGCTCGCTATTTCATAGGACTGATTTCAATCATTTGCCTCTCTGCCACGTTGTTTACTTTTTTAACCTTTTTGATTGACGTCACAAGATTCCGTTACCCTGAAAGGCCTATCATATTTTATGCGGTCTGCTACATGATGGTGTCATTGATTTTCTTCATTGGCTTTTTGCTTGAGGATCGAGTAGCCTGCAATGCATCTAGCCCTGCACAGTATAAGGCTTCCACAGTGACACAAGGATCTCACAATAAAGCCTGTACCATGCTTTTTATGGTACTCTATTTTTTCACTATGGCTGGCAGTGTATGGTGGGTAATTCTTACCATCACATGGTTTTTAGCAGCTGTGCCAAAGTGGGGTAGTGAAGCTATTGAGAAGAAAGCATTGCTGTTTCATGCCAGTGCCTGGGGCATCCCTGGAACACTAACTATCATCCTTTTAGCGATGAATAAAATTGAAGGTGACAATATTAGTGGCGTGTGTTTTGTCGGCCTCTACGATGTTGATGCATTAAGATATTTCGTTCTCGCTCCCCTCTGCCTGTATGTGGTAGTTGGGGTTTCTCTCCTCTTAGCCGGCATTATATCTCTAAACAGAGTTCGGATTGAGATCCCATTAGAAAAGGAAAACCAAGATAAGTTAGTGAAGTTCATGATCCGGATTGGTGTTTTCAGCATTCTTTACCTTGTACCACTCTTGGTTGTAATTGGATGTTACTTTTATGAGCAAGCTTACCGTGGCATCTGGGAAACAACATGGATACAGGAACGCTGCAGAGAATATCATATTCCATGTCCATACCAGGTAAGGGAACCCTTGTTATAATTCTCAGAATGTGTGATAGTGAAAAGAGGGTTACTATAAAAAGTAATCATCTGTTGTTTTCTTTCTAATTCCTCATGAACTTTAAGCATGTACATTAAAGTTTTAAAGTGAAGATGATTGATAAGCATGTGTATTGTAGTAAGTATATAATACACATATTTGTGTAGATTTTCATTTTATTTGTTTTTATGTTTTTGTTTTTCGAGACAGGGTTTCTCTGTGTAGCTTTGTAGAACAGGCTTACCTGTAACTCACAGAGATCCATCCACCTGCCTCTGCCTCCCGAGTGCTTGGATTAAGGTGTGTACCACCACTGCCTGGCGAGATTTTCATTTTAAAAGATGATTTACATTTCCATATTATAAACTTAAAGCATTACCACAAAACATTTGATTCTTTGAAAGTCAAGGTTTATAGGGGAGAAAATTGTTCCAACTCTGAGAGAAGGGTCCTGGCTCCTGTGGAAATTTTACTGGTGGTCAGATTAGTAATTATTTGAACAGTTTTTTAGAAATAGCAGAATTCAATTGCATAAACTCTTGGCATTACTTTTTTTGTTGGTATACTGAATATTTTGTGATGTACCTTTGAGTTTGAAGAGCCATAAATCCATAAATCAGAATTTTAGTTCTAGAAAGAAGTTTAAAGATCATTTATTTTGATTTTGTCCATAAATTAAATTTTCATACATCTGTTTTGTTTGACTATTTGAACTACTGGATGACTTGCCCATGTGACCTTTTAGTCTTAGGAGAGTTACTGAGAACAGGTCAGAGGACATCTCATCCTGTAGATGGTACCTAGTCTTCCTCCTTTTAAAAGGATTTTCTTTTTCTTTTTTGATTTTTTAAGGTTTATTTGATTTTATGTGTATTTGCCAGAATATATGAACATACACCACATGTGTGTCTGATGCCAGTGGAGTTCAGAAAAGGGTGTTGGACCTTCTGGAACTGGCTGTGAGCCATTATGTATGTGCTGGGAACCAAACCTAGCTTCTCTCAGAGAGCAATAATTGTTCTTGACTGCTGAGTGGTCTCTCGGCTCCTCAAAAGGTGTTTTCTTAGTATTCTCACATGGCATCTGTTCACCATCTTCTGTGTGCACCTCATCTTACAGCTCCCTGACATGTCTCAGACCTTTAAACACTATTGAAGTGTTTACATCTCAGACCAAAGGGCTTGCATTCATGTATCTTTTCTTCCTACTAGATAGTGAACTCTTTAAGAGCAAGAACTTCTGGGCATTGGTGGCACACGCCTTATATCCCAGCACTCAGGAGGCAGAGGCAGAGGCAGAGGCAAAGGCAGGCAGATCTCTGTGAGTTCGAGACCAGTCTGGTCTACAAGAGCTAGTTCCAGGACAGCCTTCAAAGCCACAGAGAAACCCTGTCTCGAAAAAAACAACAACAAAAAAAGAAAATAGATTCTATTTTGTACAGTATATCTGATTATAGTTTTCTTCCCTCTACGCTTCCCAGTTCTTCCCCACCTCCCCTTCCCTCTGGATCTACTCTCTTTTTGTCTCATTAGAAAAGAGCAGACTTTTAAAAGATAACAATCAAACATGACAAAATAAAATATAACAAGACGAAGCAAAACTATCAAATCAAAATTGGACATGGAAATCTAACAGGAGGAAGAGTCCCAAGAACAGATGGACTCAAGAGTCAGAAACTCACTCATTCTCACACTGAGAAGCCCCATAAAATACTAATAGCTATAATACATGCGCAGAGGACCTGGTGCAGGCCTAGTAGGCCCTGTGTTTTCTGCTCAGTCTCTGTGCTCATATGCACTTTGCTTAGTTGCTCCAGAGGGCCTTTTTCTCATCGTGTCCTCCATCCCCTCTGGCTCTTGCTGACATCCAGTTAGACCAGCACCATTTGTTGAAGTTGCTGTCTTTTTTCCAATATCAAAAATCAGGTGTCAGTGGGTGTGTGGATTTATGTCTGGGTCTAGTATTTGATTCCATTGATCAATGTGTCTGTTTTATGCCAGTACCATGTGGTTTTTATTACTGTAGCTCTGTAGTAAAACTTGAAATTGGGAATTGTGGGGACTCCAGCAGTTCTTTTATTGTTCAGGATTGTTTTAGGTGTCCTGGGTTTTTGTTTTTCCATTTAAAGAATTGTGTTGGAATTTTAATGAGGATTACATTGAATCTGTAGATTGCTTTTGGTAATGGCCATTTTTACTATGTTAATCCTAGCAATCCATGAACATGGGAGATCTTTCTATCTTCTGATGTCTTCTTTAATTTCTTTCTTCTACGTCTTGAAGGTTTTTATCATGCAAGTCTTCCACTTGCTTGGTTAGGGTTACCCCAAGATACTTTTATATTATTTGAGGCTATTGTGAAAGATATTGTTTCCTTGATTTCTTTCTCAATCCATTTGTCATTTGTATATAGAAAAGCTACTGATTTTTTTTATTTTTATTTTTTTTTAGTTAAACTAGAATCTAGGCCACTTTGCTGAAAGTGTTTATCAGTGTAGGAGTTCCCTGGTGAGAATTTTAGGGCCACTTTGTATATTATCGTATCAACTGCAAATAACAATACTTTAACTTCTCCCTTCCCAATTTGTGTTCCCTTGATTTCCTTCAGTTGTCTTATTGCTCTAGCTAAGACTTCAAGAACTCTATTTTATAGGTAAGCAGAGAGTGGACATCCTTGTCTTGTTACTGATTTTAGTGGACTTGCTTTGAGTTTCTCCCCCATTTAAGCTGATATTGGCTACGGACGTGTTAAAATTGCCTTTATTAAGTTTATGTATGCCTTGTATCCCCAGTCTCTCCAGGACTTTTATCATGAAGGCATGTTGGATTTTGCCAAAGGCCTTGCCTATATCTAACAAGATCTGTCAAGTCTCTAAACACTATTAAAGTGCTTCTTGTGTCCATATATCTTTTCTTCCTATTAGACAGTGAACTCTTTGAGAGAAAGAACTTTTAAAAAAATGTTTGAATGCATATTCTGTAGTTAGTAAACGATAAGTTAGTACAGAGATGGAGAAAAAAAGGACATCTTAGAGAAATAATAACATTACTGCAGTGAGGATAAGGTTAGCACATAGTCAGTGCACAGAGTCAATGGTGACAATGACAGCTTACTTATTTCTTCTGGTGTGATATTTTAAAAGACTGCCTCATAGCCAAACATTGTTTCTTCACCTGCCATAAAACAACATATAATTGAGTACTAGGTAACATATAGGGAAGCAATTGATGTGAGTCAACCATGTTTTTTATTGACTTTCAGGTCTGAAAATTGTATTAGGAGTTTTTAGTAAGCAAATCTGGTAAGAAATTCAATAGAAGATCAATTATTGTTTTTCCCCAACATATAAATTATGGGTTTTAAAAATAGTAGCTAATATTTCTTACAAACATAAAAAAGCATTGTTCGTACCAGCAAACAAGAAATTGTCATTCTCATCATCTACTATAAGCACTCTGTGTTAACATCATATTCATGTTCCCAACACTGCTGTTACCATTTATTTAAAATAACCTTTCTTCTTCATCCATATGCCCACATTCTTTGTAATATCACTTCTTGGTCTCTGTTTTGTTTTGTTTTTACCAAAATTTGCAATTGTTGCCTCGTAGGAAAAAGAATCTTCAACTTAAGTGGCTATCTTAATTTATATTCAGACATTTTTTCCCTTTTATAAGTATCAGGCATGAAATTTTTTTTGTTTACATTCCCTTATTAGTAATAAGATTATGTTCCCATGTGCCTATTGGCCTCTTGGCTTCTCCGCTGTGTCTTGCCTATTTGTTATCTTTGTTTACTACTCTAATAGGTTGCTGTTGGTTGCTGATTTCCAGTTATTTGCATCACAAGTATTTTATCTGGCTTACCTTTTGTGATTTGGGTTTTTTTTTTTTTTGTATTTTTTTGGTTTGGTTTGGTTTTTAGTTTGTTTTTTGCCTTTTTTTTTTTTAAATTCAGGTTGAATCTGGCCTTTTTTTCAAGATAGGGCTTCTCTGTGTAGCCCTGACTGTCCTGGAACTCACTCTGTAGACCAAGCTGGCCTTGAACTCACAGAGATCCACTTGCTTCTGCCTCCCGAATCCTGGGATTAAAGGTGTGTACCACCATCACCTTTATTGCAACATATACATACACAAATTGTAAAGGAGTAAGAAGCTTAAGTATTTGCATCATAATAGGTGGTAGTTCAACATCCAGGGTAGAGAGAGCACTGGAAGAAGACTGCAACAGATTGATTCCCATGGAAGAAAGAGCATCTTCACAGGCAAAGGGGAGTCTGGGATCTGCACCATCTCAAGCTCTTTCTCCTCATTCATAATCATAAGGGGTACTCCGTTCACGGGGAGGTATGTGATCTGGTGCTCCTCAGGAAGATCAGAACTCAAAGTCTAGAGCAGTGGTCCTCAACCTTCCTAATGCTGAGACCCTTTAATATAGTTCCTCGTGTTGTGGCAACCCCAAACCGTAAAATTGTTTTTGTTGCTACTTCATAACTAATTTTGCTACTGCTATGAATTGTAAATATCTGATATGTAAGCTCTATGAAAGGGGTCGTTTGACTCCCTATGGGGTTGCAACCCACAGGTTAAGAATCACTGATCTAGACATTTTTTTTTCTGTTGTCATCAGAAGCAGAAACAGAACTTTGTACTTTAACTGTCTCCTTGGTGACCTTTTTCATAGTAAAAGTTAGTTGTTTTTGTTTGAGGAGTTGATTAGTTTTCACTGGCTTTTCTGAGCTCTTGGCCAGCCTTTCTACCAGTGTTGGGTAAGGCTGTGGAACACTGAACACATTGCCAACTTGTGATTTTAAAACCTGCTATTTCCCATCTAAGGTTTTGACACAAGATCCCAGCCTCAACCCATAGTTAGCCAAATGGCTTCTCCATTATCCTCATCCACAGAGACCAGAGTAGCCATTCTGGATTACTCCTAAGACTGCTCCAGGTTTTCCAAAAACTTGGTGAGGACATTTTCCA